TTTGTCTTGGCTGATGTCTTTTGATTTTCCCATGATGTCAAGCAAAGAGGCACTGAGTTTGAAGGTAGGCCTTGAAATACATCCACAGGTACACCTCCAATTGACTCAAATGATGTCAATTAGCCTATCAGAAGCTTCTAAAGCCATGACATGGAATTGTGTCAACTTATTGTATGTAAACTTCTAACCCACTGGAATTGTGATACAGTGAATTATAAGTGAAATAATCTGTCTGTAAACAATTGTTGGAAAAATTACTTCTGCCAAAACTATAGTTTGTTAACAAGAAATTTGTGGAGTGGTTGAAAAACAAGTTTTAATGACTCCAACCTAAGTGTATGTAAACTTTCGACTTCAACTGTAATTTGTAAACAATAAATATTGATACATTACTAGCTCAAACGCTTAATCTGCAAAAATGACAAGTTAATTAGTGGGTGTTGGTGATTTAAGAACCAAAGTGGGGGGGACAAAAAACATAGGCTTCATTGCCCCCCTAATCTGATAGTGGTAGTGGGGTGGTAGATGCCTAGTCTCCTTTATGGCTCAATTCAGGTGCCTTCATAGTACAAACAGTGAGGGAAAAAAGTATTTGATCCCCTGCTGATTTTGTACGTTTGCCCACTGACAAAGAAATGATCAGTCTATAATTTTAATGGTAGGTTTATTTGAACAGTGAGAGACAGAATAACAACAAAAAAATCCAGAAAAACGCATGTCAAAAATGTTATAAATTGATTTGCATTTTAATGAGGGAAATAAGTATTTGACCCCCTCTCAATCAGAAAGATTTCTCGCTCCCAGGTGTCTTTTATACAGGTAACGAGCTGAGATTAGGAGCACACTCTTAAAGGGAGTGCTCCTAATCTCAGTTTGTTACCTGTATAAAAGACACCTGTCCACAGAAGCAATCAATCAATCAGATTCCAAACTCTCCACCATGGCCAAGTGGAGAAGCAGAAATAGAGAGAGAGAGCGATTTCGTCATTTTTTTTCACTTTCAGTTTCACTTACATAGCTAGCAAATGCAGCTAGCTAGTTTAGCCTACTGAAACACCCTGCTCAAACAGAGGGATGCTATGTTAGCTAGCTGGCTATGACTTTCCAACACAACACTGGAACTCTTCCAAGTCAAGGTAAGCTTTTGGTATTACTAATTTATTGCCACTGGGGCCCGCCGGTGTAACTGCTTACTGACTGACTGTAACATTATTGCATGATTGTAGCCGGTTTACTAACTCATTAGTTCTATTAGCTCTGCTGACTATGACGTTACTTTAGCTAATATGGTGAAAACGATGTAGGCTGTGTGTAGCGGTTTGGCTTGGAAATGTTTTTTCACCTGGTCACATACAACTGATGTGTTGTGCATTGAAGTCCACAAGTGAAGAAGAGGTGAGAGAAGGAGAGCGCATAGGGCGTGGCTGCCATGAAAGTGAACTGTGTTTACGCGTGATCAGGGGTGTATTCATTCCGCCGATTCTGTTGAAAGATGTTTCTTAAACGGAAGCAAACGGAACAAAACGGGGATAAACATACCTGAATGTGTCCAACAGAAACTCTTGTTTGCAACTGTTGGACCAATGATTACACCCTATATTAGATAGATGCAGACAAGAGTGTGCAAGGCAGTACTGAATGTCAATGTGTCACTGTTTGTCACCTCAAATTTGTCTCTTGACCTGTGTCCACCTACATTTGAAACTTTCATTCATAGGCTAGATTGTAGCAACCTCATGATGGGTATAGGGACATTTTGAGTATCATGTAGTAGCCTAAACCTATCGATGTTACATTGAACTGGGTGAATGGAATATGAATGAGAGACATCTGATATGCTGTAATAGAAATAAGGCCATGCTCATGAAAAAAAATGTGTCCTCCCTCATCTTAAACGGCACTGACCGCCACTGCTACAGACACCTCCCCTTTATTTTATATTTTTATATTTTTATTTCACCTTTATTTAACCAGTTAAGCCAGTTGAGAACAAGTTCTCTTTACAACTGCAACCTGGCCAAGATAAAGCAAAGCAGTGCGATAAAAACAACAAACACAGAGTTACACATGGAATAAACAAAACGTACAGTCAATAACACAATAGGAAATCTATATACAGTGTGTGCAAATGTAGTAAGTTATGGAGGTAAGGCAATAAATAGGCCATAGTGGGCAAAATAATTACAATTTAGTATTAACACTGGAGTGATAGATGTGCAAATAGAGATACTGGGGTGCAAAAGAGCAAAATAAATAACAATATAGGGATGAAGTAGTTGGGTGGGCTAATTTCAGATGGGCTGTGTACAGGTGCAGTGATCGGTAAGGTGCTCTGACAACTGATGCTTAAAGTTAGTGAGGGAGATAAGAGTCTCCAGCTTCAGAGATTTTTGCAATTCGTTCCAGTCATTGGCAGCAGAGAACTGGAAGGAATGGCGGCCAAATGAGGTGTTGGCTTTGGGGATGACCAGTGAGATATACCTGCTGGAGCGCAGACTACGGGTGGGTGCTGCTATGGTGACCAATGAGCTAAGATAAGGCGGGGATTTGCCTAGCAGTGATTTATAGATGGCCTGGAGCCAGTGGGTTTGACGAACATGTAGTGAGGACCAGCCAACAAGAGCGTACAGGTCACAGTGGTGGGTAGTGTATGGGGCTTTGGAGACAAAACGGATGGCACTGTGATAGACTACATCTAATTTGCTGAGTAGAGTGTTGGAGGCTATTTTGTAAATGACATCGCCGAAGTCAAGGATCGGTAGGATAGTCAGTTTTACGAGGGCATGTTTGGCAGCATGAGTGAAGGAGGCTTTGTTGCGAAATAGGAAGCCGATTCTAGATTTAACTTTGGAGATTGGAGATTCTTAATGTGAGTCTGGAAGGAGAGTTTACAGTCTAACCAGACACCTAGGTATTTGTAGATGTTAAATATGAGAGTCACAAGTGCGCATCTGGCATTGAAGGAGGTAGTGTCATGGTGCGTTCGTAACCAAGTGGGAATTTACCACATACAACTGGGAAAAATCTACTTGAACGGCCCTCAAACTGGTAATTACCAATGGGAAGTTGTCTATTATTCTGAGCACCCACTTCTCCCACATGGTGACCTCTGACGTTACCTTTTAAGGAAATGGCCCCTAAAACAGCATTTTCGGCAGTAAAATGCAACAACAAAACAATATTTATAAAACGCTATCTATTAATATGGTTTTTGAAATCTAGAATTTGTTTAGAAGCATGATAGAGGTACTTTTAGTTTATGGTTGACACAGCTTGTTGGCCATTAGCCAATCAGCATTTCTCAACAAGTTCAAATCACTTAAAAGCATCCGACTGGCATTTAAGACTTCACAACTGTTGTGAATGCTGAACATTGTGAATGGCATTTAATTTTTGCGCTGTACCCGAACCGAACCGTGACCCCAAAATCGCAATAGGTATAGAACTGTGGGTTTGGTGAACCGTTACACCCCTAACACACATACACACACACACACTGAAGTCAGATCAGACAGATCCAGCTCAGGAGCTCCATCAGCATCGTATCGCATCGAACCGAATCGCATCGATTTCAAACTAAAATGTCCTGTATCGTATCGGAGCCCATGTATCTAGAAAAGTATCAAATCATCTTAAAAGGGAAAGATGCACATCCCTATAAGTTACTTCATCTAACATATCCAGGGAATGCATGATTGATATTTTGATGTCGAAATAGGATCCAGAATTATCAGATTTATTTTTGGACATCTTTGTGCATATTGGCCGAGGCTATATTATTCACCACCTGAGGAAGTGGGAACTCAAAACACTTAGCTAGATTGGCAACTTTAAATATGAGCATGTTGCTAGATAGCTAATTGTAGGCTAATTGATTAATCTATCAGTAAATGTAATGTCCTACAAAAACTTTCCAGCGCTAGGCCTATACAGGCTACTTGATGTAGGCCTATTCACCACAAATGGCGCACTCCGTTCCACGGGACTCATTAAACCCATATACTATGTAGCACAGGAGGTTGGTGGCACCTTAATTGGGGAGAACAGGCTCGTGGTAATGGCTGGAGCGGAATAGGTGGAATGGTATCAAATAAATCAAACACATGGTTTCCACGTGTTTGATACCATTCCATTTTCTCCATTCCGGCAATTATTATGAGCCGTTCTCCCCTCAGCAGCCTCCTGTGCTGTGTAGCCCACTCCAGTTGTAAAGTAGTGCTATGAACTCAATATTGAGAGGTGAGAAATAAATTATATAATATACTCACAGCAAGCCGTGGCTATCCTCTCTGTAACTAGAACAACAGAAGTTTCTTTGAAAACTGCCTTTTTTCCCGCAATTGCATTTTGAGCAACGGTCATATTGTTGTGCTTATTAGAATGCACCTCTCTCCTCCTCCGTGCACAAGGGAGTGGCTCACTCACACAGCAGCCAATAGCGAAACAGGGACATTTCTGATCAATTGCAAATTACTGTTTGTTTCACTGGCAACCTAGCGACCAATAAAATATTGGTTTCACACTGGCAAGTCAAATGTTCGCAAATGCGAGTGTGTGTTTGTTTGTGTATGTGTCCATGCTAACGTGTGTTTCTAAGGGACTGAGAGTGTTTAAGGAGAGAGCAGGGGTAATGGTCCGTAAGTGAGGACAGTAGCTATGAGTACAGGCCTGAGGTCAGCAGCACTACACTGCTGCGTATATGAACACATTGTGGTCACAGTGGCCCTACACACTCACTCAGCCATGGAAATCATTATAGAGACTACTCTCTTGGCTACAACAGAGGAATCTGCAGCCCTTAAACTATATTACATTACAGGGTACAGATGGACTGGTTCCAATGTCCTTAGATAACCTCCTTTGCCCTCCGATCTCTTTCCCTATGTGACCTCTGATCTGATAGGATAGATTACTCTAATATGGTAGAGCCCCTACTCTTAGCCTAGGTGGCATTTCCACCACGAATCCTGTTGTGGTCGGTCAGTGGGTGTCACTGACCTCTCGCGGTCCTGCTCCAGTAGACAGGTGAGGTCGTCGCTGCGCTGCAGGAGGGCACGGTGCTGCTGGTCCTGCTCCTCCAGCCTGCAGAGGGCACCACTGTGGGAGCACTCCACCTGCAGCAGCTGCTCCAGCATCCGCCTGTAGCTCTGCTTTCCAGTCTCCACCAGCCGGTCCAGCTAACACAGAGAGAGAAAGGGACATGAAGACAGGGCTGAAGACTCCGTGGCTCTAATTGCGTTGTTGGAAACGGGCAATGGGTCAATGGTTTATCATTAGCTATCTACTGCAAAACCCATGCCTCAAAGCCTATACAAGCCTAAGTGTGACTGGTGGGTTTTAATAGAGACAGTGGCTGTGTTTTCAATCTTAGTGTTTATCTCCTGTTACTTCAGCCATGGGTTTCTCGTAGACATCCTGCTGTGGGGCCTCCTGGGCCTCAGAAGCCTGGGCCTGGAGTGAGTCTCTTTGCAGGGCCTGTAGCACCTCTCCTGGGGTAACAAAGCCATACTGAGCCTCCACCAGAGCCAGATCCATCTTCTCTGCTTTCAGGACTGCGATCACCTCGTCTCTGGCCTGGTAGGATGGACAGATATAATAAAAAAGGAGGGATGAAGAATGATAGAGATGAAAAAGAGATTGCACTCCCAAGTCTTTCCTATACAGCTACGGTGTAGGCTGTGTGTGTGTCACGCTCTGCGAGGCATGTCTAGGAGGGTTTTACTCATGGTTTTAGTTACAGTCACAATAGGCTCCTCTGTTAGAGTCTGATTCATTCTGTCTCCTCTACAGCTCGTCTACAGCTGGGCTCAACTCAGTTTGGAGAAAATCTCCTATTGACGACGTCAATGTGCAATGTAACACTCGCATTTGTGCATATAAGGCTTTGGCACTAGTGTGGTTTTGAACATGGCCAAGTCTAAGCTATAGGCTACTAGCCCCGTACGACCATCCTGATCTCGTTATCTTACAGAGCACAGCGGATCAAACATCTACTATAAACCTAGATCCAGAAGTACTAGAATACATCTGTTCTGTCCTGTCCTCACCTGCAGCTCTCCCTCCATTATACTGAGGAGGAACACAAGGTCATCCCTGGACAGGTCTTTCCCCCTCTCTCCCCCCATGCTGTCCCTCAGGACGGTGCCCTTGAGGGGGTCGAGGTGAGCCACAGAGTTCTGTGAACCGTCGCTGTTCCGGGCAGCCATGTTGGGGCTGTTGCTATGGGAACGCATCTGTGGATACACCTGGGAAGAAGAGCGAGGGAGATATTTATGGACATGGAGAGGTAGTACAAGAGTGGCAGAGAAGAATAGGGAGGTTAGTGCAGTGACAATGGATGGTGATATCATTTGAAGCTGAGCACTCAAATAGGCCTATTTCTTGTTTGAATTACATTTTAGTCATTTAGCAGACGCTCTTATCCAGAGCAACTTACAGGAGCAATTAGGGTTAAGTGCCTTGTTCAAGGGCACATCGACAGATTTTTCACCTAGTCGGCTCGGGGATTAGAACCAGCGACCTTTCGGTTACTGGCACAACGCTCTTAACCACTAAGCTACCTGCCGCCCCCACATCAATCAATGAACAAGTGCTTTGTGTGTATCAGTTATATCTTTGATGACTCTATTACAGCTAATGTAAACTGTTAGGCACCTTGTCATAACCAGCCGCCCAGGGCTAAAAAGATAGCTTTAGCATGTTTGCTTATGTTGCTTAAGTCACCCTTAGGTCATCTCATAGTTTCTCTATTAGCACATAAATGACTGGGAGGTCTGGCTGACAGCTTGGCAAGCATAAGGAGCGTGCCAGAGACCAAGGGCTTAATTACTGACCATATGAGGAGATTAACCATGTGTGTGTGCGTCTATGTGTAGTGTGTGTGTTCTCAACACTGACAGGTTACAGCAACAGCAAACAATGCTGGTCCGACCGCAGAAGATCCTATTAAGTAGGATATCTAGGCCTAATAGTATCTCTGCACATCCCAATCTATGAGAGAATCGTTTTAATACCCAGCCAAAGCATTCAAACTATATTCAGGACAGCTGTGTGTGTCCCAAACCTAGCCAGTAAGTGGGCACATACACAGAAAGCACACGTATGCATTATGCACACAAGATAGGCCTGCTAACACACATGCATGTACACAAACAAAAAAATACACTAGAAACAGGGCAAGTGTTTTCAGAGTTCTACAACAGTGAGAGATGAGTCAGATGTTCCAACACAAGAATGGGGGAGTGAGGATTTAGGCTACAGCTAGATGTTGACATCAAAACAGCCCATCTTTCTAAACAAGAGAAACACAGCTAGTACAGCAGGAACAAACCGAATGGTTTATAGGAAAGGTGGATTATAGGTTATAGGAAAGGTGGTTGTGTGTGTCTGCGTACGTGCGTGCGTGTGCGTGTGTGTCTGTGTGTGTGTGTCAGAGCTGTCTGTCTATCTGAGTTGTTATCCTCTCCGTATCAATTACTAAGACAGATGGAGCTATCTGGACAGAAAAGTCTAAATGGAATCTTTGAAACTTCCCAACTCTGACATCACCCCATTGAAATTGAAATGTAAAAGGTTTAGGGTTAGGTAAGGGTTATGGTTAAGGTTAAGGTTAGGGTTAGGTAAGGGTTATGCTTAAAGTTAGGGTAAAGGTAGGGGTTAGGGTTATCGTTTAGGGTAGAGATGTCCCAAGGATCTCAGATAGCAGTAGCCCAATCTGGACTCCCTTTCCTTTCTGGCCTGCATCGCTCCACTCGTTTACTGGGATGGAAGGAATGATAAAGTAACACAGAGGCCTTTTATAAGGTCCCATTATTACAGCAAGGAATTCCAACCTACGACTCACAGCCGCAAACGTGAGCCCATAACCCACACACATACACACACACACACACACACACACACACACACACACACACACACACACACACACACACACAGGTACCATCTTGGAGGACACACACAGCTGAGGTCTACACACACACACACACACACACCACTCATGCCTACATTGTGAGCAGACATATTTTGAGGTTTTGAGCTGAACACCTTTACAGGGTATGATAATAGAAATGATATTGTGGGTTTATTTTGGCTGATATGTTCTACTGACTTGATCTTTGTTTTCCTTTGGACTAGTTCATGTTCTCTTGTCCCGTCCATCCTGCTAGCCACTACGTGCACTTCTCTGTTACCTATGCCTAATGATGACAGACACTTAGGTCTGCATGCACACACAGCACTTAAGCTAGGCCTAAGTGCTCATCTGAACACACTCACAGATATGCACTCATGCTTACACACTTATGGACATAGGCTTAATCTCTTAGACAAATGTAGACTAATTTGCGCATACACAACACACACCTAATTGTAAGTGCCCAGTACATGTCCAGTGTCAGCGCCGGTCATAGACCCAGTTGAGAGCTTTCCCTTGGCAAACAGACTGGCAGCGCCATGTGCCCATTGGCTCCTTGGGGTATTTTCTTAACCATAGAGAGCTGCCCGCGTCTCGCCTGTCTGCCCCGTCTACACGGAAGGGCACCAGCTGCCCCGGGATACAAAATAATTAACACATCGAAATGAAAACATGGTCACAAGTGTGTACACACATGCTTTCACCACCCACCCATTACATACCTCAGATATTGTACATGGTGATACACTCACACACACTGCCCTCTTATTAAATATCACCTCTAACCCAGATGCCATCTTAAAGCTTGATTAATATAAAAATGACTTCAGTCTATGAATGCACATTTATTCACTGACATTCTGAACCGTGTTATATAACCATTAAGCTAATAAACCATGAAGAGGTTTATATATGTTTAATAAACCATTAATAAAAGGCTGAGAAAGGGCCTGACTTGTCCAACCTGTGTCTACCCATTCACTCCCAATAGCCCGATAATATCCACCTGTTGTGGGAGGCCTAGGTTCAGATGAAGGTTCCCTCCTACTCAGGTTAGGTGGCTAGGTGCCACGGTCATTAAGGTTATGCCCTACGGTGGTCTCTTCCTAGGGAGGGTGACTGGGTAGGTGGGTGATTCTCAAGAAACTGGCATTTGACATACAACTTTTTCACAAAAGAAAGCAACACATTATCCACCATAATTCCTATTGGATCACTAAAATCTGTATTTATATATTTCATAATTATGTTTATTGATCAGATATTATGCACTTTACCACAATTTCCACAACTACCAATGCAGAAATTCTCATTACCGCAACAGTTTTCGAAGTCCCGAAAAGTTGCAAACAAATCCATTTCTAATATATTTTTTTACATTGTCATCTAATGAAAAGGCCTCAGTTCAACATAACACTGAAAACAAATATATTTTAAAGTAAATTATTACAATGTTTTTGTAATTTCTCATTACTGCAACACACAATCTTTTCTGAATCTTGGTTTTTGTCAATGACTTGTGTATACATGTTTATTTTATGTACACGTTTAGATAGAGAACAAAAGGCACCCTATCAGATTAAGCCCAAATTACTTAAGTATACATTTCCTTTTTCCTAATATTTCCTAAATATTGGTGCATTACGGTAATGATAAGTAGGTTTCGGAGATGAGAATGCATGTTTCGGTAATGAATGTTGCATAGTTTGCCATTGAAAAAATACTGAGCACTATTAGAGATTTAGTAATGAGTGTTGCATAGTTTGCCATTTAAAAAATACTGAGCTCTATTAGAGATTTAATAACCCAATAAATCATCAAACTATGTCATTTGTTAATCCCAAATTACTTGAACAAAGGCACTGACAGACAGCTTGCGGTGGGCAGGGTGGCTCATTCATATTCAATGAAGCCTAGGCGGGGGGAAATTCTATCCAGGCAGAGCGGTCGGCGTTGCTTGTGCAAGTGAAGGCCGATCAAGCGAGGTGGAGAAAATATAAATTACATTTACATTTAAGTCATTTAGCAGACGCTCTTATCCAATCTATTCTATTTCTGAAGTGGTGCCGTCGTTGTTGACCAATCACAGGAGAAACCGTAGCCTGAGCTATGATACGTCAGCATGTATGTGTATTGCCCACTCTAGCTAACTAGCTGGCTAACACACTCAGTTTAAAGAGCCATGTTTAACAATATAAATAATTGTTTTCTAATGTATTTTGGGATTCATCATTTCTGTTGCATGTAAAAAAAATTTTATGCATGATTATGGTGTTATAACGATTCACTTTTCACGTGTCGATAATGTTTGTTTATTTGATCTTAATGCAATTTACTAAAATACTAAAATATTATTTTAGCATAAGTATAAGTACTGTAATTATGTATTTTCAAAAATCCAACGTTTTTTTTACAAGTAATACTGTTGTATTAGGACATGGATATGTGTGGTTCTAAGGTATTTTAGATTATTTCTAAATTGAATAAGATCATATGGGCAAATGGCATAACATGATATGCCTATGGAGTATCTAAATATGTGGGATATGGACCAAAAACTTTATTGGGATATCAAACAACAGTATAGTTAAGTGCTAAAACAGGTACACATGTCAAAATGGGTGATATCCTCATTTAGGTGGCGGGGTTGCTCCTTGCTGAAACACAAACTCCAGATTGTGGCTTTAAGTAAATTAAATGGGGTTTATACACCCATATTTCTTGACAACCCCTACTTAATAAAATAACTGATGTTTTACCAAATCTATACATTAGGTGTAAGCAGTGCTAGTAAATAATTAAAGTTACCAGCACAGCACACCCATTGACTACGCATTAGTATTAGCTTAGTGTCATTAACGAAATTAAGGTTCTCATTACCAAAACGGACCTAAAGATTATGCAGTAATGAGAAATGTGTGTTTCGTTAATGAGGCCTTAGCTCAATCTGCAAGTAATAGGTGACAGCCATAATAACTCAGCAAACAATTGATCACATCACTAAAGCCCATTCATGCCTCCATGTTGGTAAGGTAATGGTTCTCTAAGTTATTCCCAATTTGATATTTTTCATCATTTCGGTAATGAGAAGGTCAAGTGTAATAAAGGGGGTGTTTCAGAATAAGATCCTCATTCTGAAGGCATATAAGTGAAGAAATTAAAGGAACTAAGGACTACTACTCTAGATGATGCATCATGGGTGAATAAAACGTTATTTAAAAAAATTATTGGAGTTTTTAAAGCAACTTGAAAAAGTGTTACGGTAAAGTGTTTTTACATAATAAATATTATAGTTTAATATAAAATTCAACTAGTATACAATTTTTATGA